TTATCTGAAATTTGGTATGAGTAAACTAGACTTGGTGAATGAGATGATCAAAAAATTTCATCAAAAAATTCCACCGGGAACTGCCCCAAATCGCGCCGGCTGGACAAAACCTCCTATAGAAGGACTTAATTGACCTTTTTATGAAAGTTCGAGGACCTATTTGTCAGTTTTCCCTTCAATAATTGATTTCATATATCTATGATCAATTAAATAGTACGTAGTCATAAAAATATAGTGGTGATGTTTCAAGAGAAACCAAATATAGTGGTCATGTCTATGATATGATATATTGTGTTTTAGAATGGTTTTACTTGGATTAGTTTATTCTCTATGAAACCAAATCAAACCAGATTTAAATAAACCAAACCATACTAATTAGACTCAAATAGACCATGCCACAGAAAGACTTCATAATCATCCAACATCATTATCCATTACCCTTGTACTAAAACAATAATGACTGATGCTTTATAACAAAAAAGCACATCAGTTTAGTGCATTATTTAGCTTTATTTCATCATATCTCAAAGTCAAAAATAGTGAGTCTTTGGCTCCATTGGAAACGATGAAAATACACATAGGGTATTTCAGTGTGCTCTCCCTTCAAACGTTGCAATTAGCTAGCAACGTTTCACGTGTAAAACAATTGACATTTTGCTTGAACAACCAATTCCAAACGCAACCATAAACTAGACATTTATCAGACCATACTGGACTAATTCAGAGCATACCAGACTTAAATAAACAAGATCAAGACCATGAAATTTGAATCCAACTAAAAAATATTCCCTTTGAATTTGGAAATGAGTGACATTTAAAGCATGAAATTTGAATCCAACTAAAAAATATTCCCTTTGAATTTGGAAATGAGTGACATTTAAAGCAAAAAAATGTAATTTGACTTGATTTTGTTTGGTTTCATACATTTGTTTGGAGGAATGAACCCTCCTTCATTAGACATTAGTTTTGCAAGTCTGAAAATTTGAAAACTAAACTTAAAAAAACGGTATTAATTACTTCGAATACAAAGATTCCATATATATCCTTAATTGGCAAATGTCACTATAATTTACGTAGTATTTTTTTTTTGACAGAATGTCACTATAGCTATGAGTCTTTAATTTGGTTGATGAAATAATTTAATGGTGTCGTTTTTCAAATACTCTATACACTAGTGTCTAGCTAGTACTAATTAAAAAATCAACTGTAATTGCGTGACGATGGGATAGATTATTTGTCGAATTTTATTCTACGTAATTGTCAACCAATTGAAATGCAAGTTAATTATGACATCAATACCTCAGCGCGTATGTCACGAGTTTATGAAATATGTACAATTATTTTTTACATAATAGTGACTCTAATGCCATATTTATAGTAACTTAGGTTAATATTTTATCTACAAATTTTATTTTAATACTCCGTAATTGTTAACGAAAAACCTTATGTACTCAGCTTATACATTAATTAAGATTGTGTATGGTTGGAGTTTTGGAATAAATGAAATAGTATATAATGATCGGAAAATGAATAAAAAGTGACTAGGTGTTACATTTTTGTTATCCCTTCTATTCTTATAATTAAAATGAAAAATTAATTACAAAATATTTCTCTGATGATCTCCAATACCATTCAACATCCTTTTAAAAACCCAACTCCCAATTGACCTTTAGATTCCATATTTCAATCGCCTTGTTTTCTTTTATATTTGAAAAGGATGTTCATATACTACCTTAAATAATGACTAAAAGATGACTAAAATGAAGATAGAACTAAAAATGTGTCTTTTTATATATAGTAATTATAATAGTAAAATGGAGTGATTATACCGTGGTCAAATTCTATTACACCTTAACATGTTACTTTTTTTTATATAGTTTTTAGGATGTTTTTTTTGGACTGAAATTTGTTGGTCTGGTCTGGTTTGATCTGATCTGGTCTGGTAAAAGTCGGGTTTCTGTGTATTTTATAACTACGGAAGTCAAGCCTAGTCTGGTCTGGTCTGGTCTGGTCTGGGACTGAAAACAGTTCAAAAGAAAACATCCTTAATGTGCGTCTTTAACTATTTTATTTTTATTATATAGACGCATTGGGAACTTCTCATAAAGGGCGTGTTTGGCATTTAGCGGATAGCGGATTATGTAAGCGGGTTGTTAATAGCGGATTCAATCAGCAGGTTTGACCAGCAGAATATAATTGGCGGGTTTGAGAAGATGTTTGGTAATTTAGCTATTTGACCATAAAATTAATAAAATGCCATTTTTCAAAATGCTAACCCAAAACTCTTCTATTTGCAGCATTTTCATTTCAGCGGTTCCGTCCAAAAAGGCTAGCGCCGAACCGCTATTTACCAAACAACGTTTTCACTCATCGAAAACGCCAAAAGTGGTCAAACCGCCATTTTTGGCTGAAACGCCATTTACCAAACACTCCAAACAACAATATCCAAACATATATTCCAAAAGTGTTTTCATTTTACTCGTATAATTTATTAATCCTTCCTTTTTATTTGCGGCATATTTCATTTTTAAAAATTTCTTTTACCATGCTTGTTCACTTTTATAATTTGGAGTGTTTTACTTTTTCAAAATTAAATACATTAACACCCTCACTTTTCATCTTTATTTGTCCAATTTATTCATTTTTCTATTTTTTTTTTCTATTTTCTCTCATAATATTAAGAGCTTTCTAATACCCGGAGTAATAAATATTGTAATATTAAAGCAATTTTATTTTTCTCTTAAATTATGTGATAAAAAACAGCACAATGATAAATTAAAATTTCGAAATATTGATGGTATTATTAATTATAACTTCCTAATGAAAGTGGAAGCTTCGTCTCCTAATGGGTGGAGTACTCAGTACGTAATCGCGTGAAAAACACTTCTGGACGCAACGAGTATCCAAATAAAGAAAAAGAAGAACTTCAATTCATCATATTTTCCTACATCTCAAAATGGGATCCCTCATCCATGTTTCAAGGCTTTACTCTTCTTATTATTTAAGCGTTCTTAATGAGATCGATAAGGCACTCGCTTAATTACTATATTAATTTTTTTTCTAAACAAGATCTAATCACACTATTTTATAATATATCTTAATTCGTGTGCTCATTCTAATGATAATTAATACAATGGATGGAAGAGAGACAGCACTTGGACGTATATATATAGATAGTACGGAGTATATATTTTCAATAGAATTCCTCTTTGTTTTTTGAGCGAAAACAAAAGGAAAGATGACTTGTGTAATTAATTGAATAGGAAAAACGGCATTTTTTCATTGTTTAACTATATGAGGTTTGCAAACTACTAACTAGTCCCAATGAAATCTTTTTTGATCATCAATCATATCTATATCTTTTCAATAGTAGATAATTGAATGTCTTTTTTCGATCAAATAAGATGTCAAACAAATTGAAGATTACATTTACCTTTTGTTATATTTTTTAAAAGATTGACATGATCTTTCTATAAGTTAACTACCTATCCGTTTTTTTCAATATTATATAATGTCTTTTTCCATTTAAATTTGGAGTATCTTTGGTCGCATGTCACTTTGAAGCTGGCAACTCCATCTCCTCCTAATTAAATTTAAAGTTGGCATTCATTTGGTGATTTGAGGACTAATAAGTAGTTGAGCATATATTTTGGAAATCCCCTAAATAAGATTAAAACAAGAATTTATTCACTCTTATTTTAAGAATTTAAGTTTTGATCACTTTATTCTTTTAATAAGATTTATTGGCCGGGAATTGTTATGTAAACTATCAAAAGTGAAACTAAATAAAGGCAAGTTCAAGATACTTGTATTACCCTCGTTCCTTACAACTTCCTTATCTTTGACTTTCGATATATTTTGGTAAACGCACTTCCAAGGCACTCTGCAAATCCTTCACAACCTGTCTCCTCAATTTTACCTTGTCCATGGTTGGAGTCCAAATACGAAATTGAAGAGCTTGTCCTCCTCGGTCATGTTCTCAATGTCTAACATGATCGATGAGAACGCCTTGACATAATTTTTTGTACTGAATTGTTCAGTATAAAAAATAATACGGAGTACTATGTATGATTTCTGTTGTTGAAGATATGCGTAAAACGGATAAAAATTATAAGAGTATAACTTTCACAAGAATGTACTTATACTCTCTATTAAACAAATCATTGGTCAAATTTTATAAGAGAGAATTCTCTAAATAAGAGTAAAAATGTTTTTAAATTTCAAGATAGAACTATGATTTTTTTTATTCCCTGAATATATAGAAGTAAATTTCTGCCAAGTTTGGTGGCATTACTAGGCTTTAAACATGACATTTTTTCAGAACTTGGCAAATTACTGCACCAAAATAGGGGTTTTCAAAACTTGGCAGATTAATGCTTTTCAAAATAGGGGTTTAATGCACCAAACCCCCTTGTGAAATAAAAAATCGACGCATTAACCCCTTGTATGTGATTTAAAAAATGCGTCAAACCCTCTTGTGTTATAATTGATCATGCGCCAAACCCCCTCCAAGAACAAATTTAATTTCCAAAAAAATGAAAATGGTTAGTTTTTTTTGTATAATTTAGATATTTTGACAAAGTTACTTGCACATTCATCTATATTATTAAAAAAGGTGATTTTAAAATTGTAAAATTTGTTCTTAGAAGGGGTTTTGCACATGATTAATTATAACACAGGGGGGTTTGACGTTTTTTTTTAAATCATAGAGGGCTAATGCGCCGAATATTTATTTCACGAGGGGGTTTGGTGCATTGACCCCAACTTACTCTTATTCAGGGAACAAAAAATATAATAGTCATATTTTAAAATTTGAAACCGTTTTTACTCATATTTAGGGCAATTTTTGATTTTATAATCATTCTCTTAAAAAGTCATACTCCTTATATGACAAACTTTCAAGTGTATATATTATGGGTAGTCTAAAAAGGAATTGCTCAATCAAGTAAATGTAAATGCATTATACTAGTATATAATTCTCATAATTAATTAAGTATAGATATACCTCAGATGAGTGGGGATTTGAGGCCATTTGTTATGATCCTTGATGGAAGATGGAAGATAGTGAAGAAAAAAGTAGTCGTTCCAATCAAGAACCGCCCCCTTCTCCACCCCTAGACGGCTGCCGTAGCCCTCATAGGTGGCCGGCGAGTTGGCATACACTTCCTTAACTTCCACCGGCTGGTGGAAGAACTCACGCCACACTTCCCGAGCACCCTCCATCAGCTCCGGCTTAACGCCGTGGTTCACCGCCTGAAAGAAACCCCATTCCCGGCATGCCGCCGAGACTTGGGACATGACCTTAGCCTTCGCAAGGGCAACGTCGTCGCCGTCGCCGTGCAGGAACAAAGGTCCGAGATCGATCACCGGAATATCAAGATCCCCGTCATCGCCGCCGAGGGAAGAGGGTTGTTTTGCGGAAGGGCGGTCGGCCGGGGGCTTGATGTATCTTTCCGGGATGGCGGAGAGGCCGGCGGCGGCGAGTGATTGGACTCGGACGATCGGTTCCGTCCAATCGGTGGGCATGTTGTTGATCGTCATTATAATTGCTAATATACGGATTAAAGAGTTGTGATTATGTAGATGTAATTAAATACTACGTAGTTGTAAATTAACTTGCAATATTACAGTAAAGTGTAACGAGACACAATCATGCAGAGATATGAGAGGGGTCGGGGTAGCGTGATTACCTAATAGATTTGTGAAATGGGAGGCATTTAGAGTTGGTTTAAATAGAGCAATACATTTTGTTGACGTAATTAGTTACATAACTCTTCATTTATTTAATGGCAGAATGCTTTAAATAAACTTGTCATTTTCTGTTAAGATCTTGGCCGTTTATGATACCATGTCAAGATTTAGGATTTCATCCTATAATTAATATAATACGGAGTACTTTTGTTATTTCACAATTTTCTAGTGTCGTAGTGTAGGACTTCGACATTTTCAAAAACAAGAATCTATTAATTTAAAATTTCAAAAATAGAATATTTTATTTGTGATTGGATAAATATTGTTATATAGTAGGAGTTGTTGCCCCCGGGTTGTCAAATCGTCTGCCACCAATTGTCAGATTTTTTTCCCATGTTGCCGCTGCCGGAGTTCACCGCCGCCACTATTGGAATGATCTTCACTGAAATCCTAATATGAAGTAATTCACATTAAACTAATAACATTTTCCTAACTGAAATCCTAATAAATTAACTGAAATCCTAATAATTCACTATAATAATTCACTAGTATTTTTACAAACCCATTTGAATTAACTAACATTATAATTCACTATAATAATTCACTAGTATTTTTATAAACCCATTTGTAATTAACTAACAATGTAATTGATTAAAAGGAATACATAACATACAGGGCCGTCTAGAGCAATTATGAGGCCCTAGACACATATACAAACATTTTGCTTAATTATGTGTTTTTCAACATAATATGAAAAAATAGAATATCAATTAAATTTAAGTATATTACATAAAAAATGCATCATATACTCTTTCTCTTTGTACACCTGGAATCATGATTTCGTTTTTCCAAATCATCACAAAATCTATAACTTGATTGAAACTAATACTAAATAAGTTAAACGTTCATAAATAGAAATTTAATCCACAAATTTTAACCGCGTATAAAACATTATAAATATTCAAAGCCTATTTGGTCACCCTGTTTTTCAGCTTATTAGCCGACTTTTTCATCAAACACGTAACTTTTGATTTCGTGCGCTAAGTTATACTCCCTCCATCCCGAAAAGGTAGGTCAAAGTTGTCTTTCACGTGGATTAATAAAGTAAAAACTGTGTGATTGAAATTTGTGCAGAGGAGAGAGAATTAACTTTAGCCACATATTCCTTACTTTAAATGGAAATGACAAATCTTTTTGGGACATCCAAAAAAAGAAATTTGGTCAACCTTTTCGGGATGAGGGAGTATAATAATAAAAATAAGTAGGGTTGAAGTTTTTTTAGGTGTATTGAATAATGTTACTCTATAGAATCATTTTAGCTATTTTCACATAATTTTATATATTTTCTTAATATAATATATTTTAAAGATATTTTTTCATAATTCAGAAAAATTAGCCAATCAACAATTTCAGCCAAAATTTCATAAACTTTAGCAAACTCAATCAATTTCAGTTTCATTAAATAGGCTCTCAATATCTCAATCAATCAAAATTACAAATTACAATTTGAATATATCAAGATACTTATAATATACTCCTTCCGTTCCCAAAAATACTTCTCACTTTCCTTTTTGGGCCGTACCAAAAAATACTTCCAACTTTTCCTTTTTGGACAATTTGTGTGGTTCACATTCACTTTACATTTTTCTTACACAATCACAACCATACATTTCCACTTTCTTAATAAGCGTGTCATTCAAATTTGGAAAATTTTTTAGGAACGGGGGTAGTACGTTATATACCTAAGCTCTACTACCGGCTACCCTAACCGACTAACAATCTAAGAGCCCGTTTGGTAGCACCAAAATCGGCTGTTTTGGCTGATTGTGCTGAAATTTATGATATTCTGGCTAGAGTGGCTGTTTTGGCTGATTCTGCTGATTTAAGAAAAAACAATTTAAAAATATATTTTATTAATAAATTAAAGAAAAAATTATATGTAAAAATAGCTAAAATGGTCCTCTACAGTAACTTCAGCCAATACAGCCAGAAAAGTAACTCCAACCTTACTTTTTCGGCTTATTACACAATTCAGCGCGCGAAAGTAAAAGTTACGTGTTTGGTGAAAAAGCTGGCTGATAAGCCTGATAAGCCGAAAACAGAGTTCTCCAAACGGGCTCTAAAAATCTATATTAGCATTCAAGGATTCTGGAAAATGAACTTGTTCTTATTACCCTTGAAGGGTGGTATTTATAAGAGCCTTGTACAAGAAGATATCTAACTAACAGACTAAAATATCTGGCTAACAAACTGTAACAAAGTATACGAGTAAAACAAATTGTTGACTAACAGTTGTAGTCAAACTAACTAGCCATCTATTTATTTACAAAATATCTGTATAAGCTAATAGCCTCCCTCAAGGTGGATCTGATATGGAATGAAGATTCAGCTTGGAGATATTACTATGTAATAATGCTGGAAATAATGCTTTTGTAAAACAGTCTGCTAGCTGACAGGATGAAGGAACAAAGAAAAGCTTGATTAATCCTTGCTGAAGTTTGATCCGGATAAAATGACAATCCACTTCAATGTGCTTTGTCCTTTCATGAAATATAGGGTTTTTAGCAATCTGAATTGCAGATTGGCTATCACTATAAACATGAAATGGCATTGCAGTTGAAGCATGTAAGTCATTAAGTAGAAACTGAATCCATTGAAGTTCACAAGTGAGTGTGGATAGTGCTCTGTATTCAGCCTCGGACGAAGATCTGGATATAGTGTTTTGCTTCTTTGATTTCCATGAAATTAATGAGTCTCCTAAAAATATACAAAACCCTGTAATGGATTTTCTTGTATCTGGACAGGATGCCCAATCAGAGTCTGAAAAGGCCTTGATTTGAGCATTGCTGGAAGAGGAAAAGAATAGTCCAAGAGATGGTGAGTTTTTGAGATATTTTAGAACTCTAAGGGCTGCATGTAGATGAGGTTCTCTGGGAGAGGAGACATATTGACTGAGTTGTTGAACAGCAAACATGATGTCAGGCCTGGTATTAGTGAGGTATATTAAGCGCCCAATTAGTCTTCTATATGAGGTTGGATCAGATATTAGATTACCTTCATTAACTGATATTTTGTGAGCATGATCAATGGGAGTTGAGGCTGGTTTACATCCTGAAAGTCCAAATTCATCTATTAACTCAAGGCAGTATTTCCTTTGATTCAGTAAAATTCCCTTTGTGGATCTAGCAACTTCAAGACCAAGAAAGTATCTTAACTTTCCTAGATCTTTAATATGAAACTGTTGATGAAGTGCTGTTTTGACTCTTGTGATTTCTGTAACATCATTACCTGTGAGAATTACATCATCCACATAAACTAGCAGAGCAGTTATTGAAGTCCCAATTTTTCTAACAAAGAGAGAATAATCAGCTAAACTCTGTTTGTAACCAAGCTTAAACAATGTAGAGATTAACTTGTGGTTCCATTGTCTACTAGCTTGTTTGAGACCATAAAGGGATTTATGAAGTTTGCAAACCAGTTTAGGATTAGGAAGAGAAAGTCCTGATGGTGGTTTCATGTACACTTCTTCTTCTAAATTGCCATGTAGAAAAGCATTGTCAATATCTAACTGTTCAACATGCCAATTATGTATAGAGGCTAAGGATAAGAGCAGGCGCATAGTAGTGAGTTTAGCAACAGGTGAATATGTTTCAAAAAAATCAACTCCTTCTGTTTGAGTGAACCCTTTTGCGACCAATCTAGCTTTAAACCTTTCAAGAGAGCCATCTGACTTCAGTTTGACTTTATAAACCCATTTGCAGCCTACCAACTTCTTGCCTGGAGGTAATTCTACTAAGGACCAGGTTTTATTGTTTTCAAGAGCATGAAGTTCATTGCGCATTGCTGTTCTCCAACATTCATGTTCATTTGCTTGTTTAAAAGATGTGGGTTCAGAGTAAAGAGAAAGAGAGTGACAATAAGAAGAATAATTGGAAGAACAGTGTGAGAAATTGACAAATTTTTCCAAAGGATATGGAGTGGAAAGAGTAGAGGTATGGCCACAGTAATAAGCATCAAGGTATCCAGAAGGTTTCTTTTGTCTTTTTTCTGGATGAGTCATCTGATTAGTAGATTCAGAGATTTGGACTATAGGAGTGTTAGTACAAATAGGAGTGAGACCATGACTTTGGGATGAAGAATTGTAGAAATCAAGTGTATTAGGATCATATGAGTCAGGAAGTGATGTGTAATACTGAAATGGAAACTGGGATTCATAGAGAAGAACATTTCTTGAAACAATTAGATTGCAAGAGTGTAGATTGTATAAGAGAAATCCTTTGGTGTTGGATTTGAATCCTAAGAATACACATTTATGAGCTCTAGGATCCAGTTTTGATCTATTGGCAGTGAGAGTAGTTGCAAAAGCTAAGCAACCAAAGACTTTTAAGCTTCTAAGATCAGGTTTATTGTGAAAGACTAACTCAAAAGGTGATTTTTGAGCTATAACAGGAGAGGGTATTCTGTTTATGATGTGAATGGCATATTTAACAGCAAAGGACCAGAAGGTTTTTGGTAATTTGGCTTGAAATAGAAGAGCTCTAGTGACATTAAGTATGTGTTGATGTTTTCGTTCAACAATAGAGTTTTGTTGAGGGCATTCAACACAAGAAGTTTCATGGACAATACCTTTGTTGTTATAGAAATCTGTTTGAATAAATTCTTTTCCATTATCAGATCGAATTTTCTTGAGTTGAACTTCAAACTGATTTTCAATTTGTATAATGAAGTTTTGTAATATGAGTCTGACTTCAGTTTTGTTTTGGAATAGATGAGTCCAAGTAAATCTAGTGAAGTCATCGACAACAGTGAGAAAGTATTTGTGCCCTTCAATAGATGAAACAGATAAAGGGCCCCAAATATCAATATGAATTAGTTCAAAGAAACGAGAGGATTTGGTTGTACTGTGTGGATATGGCAGTTTCTTTTGTCTAGAATAATGACATATATCACAACTTGGAAAAGAAGAGTAAGGGATGTAACTGTATTGATTTGACAAC